CAGGAAGACTGGAGGAAATTTCCAAAACCTCACCCAGTGCCGTAAGTGCCAGGGATGGGGTCACGGAACAAAAAATTGCTACATGCCAGCCAAATGCATGTATTGTGCTGATTCCTCTCACGCAAAGGACGACTGTCATGTGAAGGAAGATCCTAAGAAATTTTTTTTTTTTTTGTTCATTAATTTATTTGATAAGGCTCAACCGAATTAACTTTACAGAGCCGAGGATTCTTGGTCACTATACAATACATCTTAAAACTATAGTCAAAAGGTACAACATAATAAACACTTTATCTTCCGCTATCCAAAAAGCCTCCTCCATCAGAACTGGAGCCGCTTCCAGTAGTTTCATTGTATGGCAAATTGTTGTACGCCAACGAGGGTCAGAGCGCGTCCATTGCAGCAATGGACGCAAAACGTGGTCAGCACTCACACACTCATCACGAAACGGTTGCTTTCCAAAGTCGACGACGCATCGACCGAAAGAACTGTTGATGAAGAACAATGAGGAGGACCACACAATAGTTGCTGCCGAGAAAACAGACGATCGCGTGGCACACATCGAGAGTGGCCTGCTTTTGTCGACAGCCGAGTGAACACTGATCCTAAGAAATTTAAATGTTCAAATTGTGGAGAAAACCATACATCCAATTTCTGGGTAAGACTCGCAAGGCGATCCTACAATCTCGTTCTAAGCGACTGGTAGGAATCGCTCTACGTTCCCGAACAGGTACAAATTCCTCTGCTGTTAACAACGGTCAGCGAGGAACAAATTCTACATTCGTACTTGTAGGTACAAATATCACCTCTGCTTCAATTTTGCATCTATACCTACGCCGTAACAATGCTGGAGTAACCTATGCTTCTATTGCAGCGGGTAGAAATCAAAAAACTTTTTTTTTTTTTTCCTTTATTTAACGTCGGTCTCTGTTCCGCAATCTACGACGGACATCGATTGCCATCCATTGACGGCAATCGAATGTGCAGGAAAGCAGCTTCCACACCTGCGTAGGATATCGCACCCATTCAAACACACATGGGCCGGGACCAACGGCTTTACTTCCCTTCCGAAGGAAGACGTGACCAGAGATTTGTATGCCTCAGAAAAATCCCACCGACCTCGGCTGGGATTGAACCCAGACCCATTGGGGTGAGAAAGCAGTCACGCTTACCACTACACCACCGGCGCCGGCTAAATCAAAATACTAACCAACGTAATTCTAACGGAAATTTTGAAAATTTTGACTTAGGAAGCATTACTGCTCCTAAAATGGATTTTTTACAGAAATTAATTAAAATTAATTGACATGATTTCTGACATGATTTCTGATATGCTTAAATCTAACTCCATGTTTGATGCTTTTTGAACTGGGGTTAAATTTGCGAACAATATTGTCATGACTTTGAAATTCAGTAATGGATTTTAAATCATTAAATATTTTAAATTGGAATGCTCGATCTCTTAAAGATAATGAAGACGATCCATTTAACTTTTTGAAAGTTCATAACGTGCATATTGCCATTATAACTGAAACGTTCCTTAAACCTGACCATAAGGTTAAGAGGGACGCAAATTATTTAATTTATCGAAATGATCGTCTTGATGGAGCCCGTGGTGGCGTTGCCATCATTGTTCATAGACGAATCGAACATAAAATTCTTTCTTCATCTGAAACCAAAGTTTTTCAAATTTTGGGAGTTTCTGTTGAAACAAAATTTGGACAACTTACGTGCCTATTTCCCATTCCAATGCGTAGATCAGCAAAAAAATTTTCTCAAAGGTGATCTTCAGAAACTTACCCGTCATAGGTCTAAATTCTTCATTATTGATGATTTTAATGCAAAACACCGCTAATGCTCAAAGCAATTCCAATAGTGATATTCTGTTTGATGATTGTTCTGCAGGCTATTACTCTATTCTATACCCAAACAGCCCAACATGCTTTTCTTCAGCAAGAAATCCCTCAACTATTGATTGGGTCTTAACTGATTCATGTCAACTTTGTAGCCAATTGGTTACCCATGCTGACTTCGGTTCTGATCACATTCCAGTAACTTATGAAATATCCCTAGAAATAATTTCTAATCCCAACAGCTCTTCTTTCAATTACCATAGAGCTGATTGAGAGTAATATCGAACATTCATGGAATATAGCTTCGATCCAAACATTCCTTTGCAAACCAATGATGAAATTAATTATGCTTTTGAATCTCTGACTACTTCTATAGCAAGAGCTACCTCAGTACCAAAATACGAGGTTAAATTCGATTCAATTATAATAGACGACGATCTTGAGCTCTTGAACCGTCTTAAAAATGTCCGTAGGAGACAATATCAAAGAACACGCGATCCTGCCATGAAAGTTATCTGGCGGGATTTGCAAAAACAATTTAAAAACGATTCTCTGTCCTGAGGAACAAAACTTTTGAAAATAATGTTTCGAAATTAGACCCGAGTTCCGAACCCTTTTGGAAACTCACAAAAATTTTGAAAATCCTCAAAAGCCTATTCCAGCGTTTAAAGAAGGTGGTAAAATTTTGATCACAAATTTGGAAAAATCTCAGAAACTTGCTAAGCAATTCGAGAGTTCCCATAATTTCAGTTTGGGTCTTACTAGTCCTATTGAGAATCAGGTTGCTCGGGATTATCTGAATATTTTCTCTCGGGAAAATATTTTTGATGATTCCTGGGGGACTGATTTGGACGAAGTAAGGTCTATAACTAAAAAGTTTCAAAATATGAAAGCTCCAGGTGATGATGGAATTTTCTATATCCTCATCAAAAAACTCCCAGAGAGTACCTTGTCTTTCTTGGTAAAATTATTTAACAGATGTTTCCATTTGGCATACTTTCCTGATAAATGGAAAAATGCAAAAGTTGTTCCAATTTTGAAGCCGGATAAAAATCCAGCTGAAGCTTCTAGCTACCGTCCAATAAGTTTGCTTTCTTCAATAAGTAAACTTTTTGAAAAGATAATTTTAAATAGAATGATGCTTCACATCAATACGAACTCAATTTTTGTAGATGAGCAGTTTGGATTTCGCCATGGGCATTCAACTACTCATCAACTCTTAAGAGTTACCAATTTAATTCGTTCAAACAAATCTGAAGGCTGCTCAACTGGAGTTGCTCTTCTAGACATAGATAAAGCATTCGACAGTGTTTGGCATGAAGATTTGATTGCTAAATTGAAAAAGTTTAATGTTCCTTTTTATGTTATGAAATTAGTTCAAAATTATTTAACTGACAGAACTCTGCAGGTAAATTATCAAATTTCGAAATCTGATCAACTACCTGTTAGAGCAGGAGTTCCTCAGGGTAGCATTCTTGGGCCTATATTGTATAACATTTTCACTTCGGACCTCCCTGATTTGCCTCAGGGTTGCCACAAATCTTTGTTCGCTGATGACACAGGCATTTCCGCTAAAGGATGCGGAAAGAAGTCTTCGTGTTATTTGCAGCAGACTGCAGAAAAGTTTAGATATTTTCTCTTCTTATTTACAAAAATGGAAGATTTCTCCCAACGCTTCCAAAACTCAACTTATAATATTTCCACATAAGCCTAGAGCTTCGTTTTTGAAACCTAGTAGTAGTCACATAGTCACTATGAACGGAGTTGGTCAAACCAAGTGAAATATCTTGGATTAGTACTTGACCAAAAATTAACTTTTGAAGATCACATTGAGGGCATTCAAGCCAAATGTAACAAATATATAAAATGTTTGTATCCTCTTATAAACAGGAAATCTAAACTTTGCGTGACGAATAAACTTTTAATATTTTAACAAGTTTTTAGACCGACCATGTTTAAAGGACGCTCAAGAAACTGGAGACAAGTATGCACGATCAGAGTTAGTCGGTTCTACATTGTACAGCAGTTCAAATCCGGAGGGACGTCGGCCAAGCATAAGTAAATGTAAAGTAACGCACCTTAAGCAAAATCGTCTATTGCTGGCGTATGGAAGCTGAAATCAAGAATAAAGTAATGGTGTATGGTTCATTACCAAGTTTTCTACGAAGATCGAGTGATTTAGAACTACATAACGATGATTTTTCAGGTATTTTATAAATTGGTTCCAAAATCATAGCGGGACAAAACGCCTGATTCATGGTGCAATATGCACCACAACATTGGGGCAAGACGCACGACAACAATGGCCAAAACGCACCACAACATTATTGGGGTAAAATGGACCGCAATAAAGACAAACCATAACCCCTGCAAGTAGAGAATGCAAAGGCATGAGGTATTTCAAATAATTATTCCTCTATGTTACATCAGGAATAAGGTCTCAATAGAGTGTTAAACTGTGATTCATGAAGTAAAACATCGATTATTTTGTGATATATGCTGTTAAAAGCTTAATTTGCAGTCGATTATTTTAAAAACTGTTGCATGTTTTACACAATATGCTATTTGTTAAAGGAATCAGTAGGTCAACATATTATTTTATGGTCATGAATTATTTGTGAAACCTCTAGTTGAAAACAAACACAATCCGTTACCCGGAAAATGCATATGAGGAAAAGTTATCGTTGTTTTTCTATAAGTGGGCATTTCAACCCACACACTTAGATTTTTTGCCGAGATTGGCACCACCGAGCAGGCTCGGCATTTATTGTTACTGAGATCTCAGCAAAATTTATGTTTGTTAGCCGAGATCTCGGCAGAATTCCCGGTTGTTAACTCAATCTCGGCAAATTTATCACTGATATCCAGTAAAATAGATTGCCGAGCTACTCGGTGGTGCCCATCTCGGCAAAATAAAAATCTAAGCGTGCAGGGGTGCATTATGGGCTGTTCTCCCTTACATTCACTCAGCAATCTGACATCGGAGAATGATTATTTGGTTTCTGTGGAGTTCGCACGAGTGAATGACACACTTGAAAACAATACACATTCTCCAAATACATAAAGTGGTTGAGATAAGATATGTTATCTATTAATCTTACCTATTTCCAAATCATACATAAATAAAAGAAAAAGGCACTTACTTACCCCTTCCGGCGTCCGTGCGGTAGGAAGGAGAATCTGGATCGTGACGCTGCGGATCAGGCGCCGTATTTTGCGGATGCACTATACTGATGACGCGTGGAATTTCTGAAATAGTCGTTTATTAATGAATTGCTGGTGTACTTTTTATGGCTTGGCTTACTTATGCAAGGTGCAATGTGTGATCGGCTCTGCTGGTAGCCCCGGGCACATCTATTACAGGTTAGTCCTGTCACTCCATCCTTGCACGGACATTGTCCTGTGGTGTGGTTGCATGTCTTTCCCGATGATCCGATGGGGTGGCAATCACAAGCTGTTCAGATGAAAAGGAATTGAATTTATCTAATGTTAATGAAATGTTCAATTAAATACAGGATAAATGATTACAGCGATTGAATGTGGTTGCATTGGAAAAATTAAAATCTATTTGTAAATGTCAAAGCAAGACGTTACTGGCAGGCAAATAATAATTTGCGTTCGTCTCGACAGAGCTTCTGTCAGAATTCAATCAATTGCCTACAGGTTAAAGTAATCACAAGCAGCAGCTAAATTGAAAAACAGTGTTCCTTTCCGTCGACGCAATAAGAAACAGATTCCACGGAAGAAAGCATCCAAGATCCAAAAAGATAGTCATCTCTCGTTGCTTATTCTACCCCGCTGAGGGGCTATTAAATTATTAATAATTATCAATTTAAATCTACTTAACGCTTCGGGTGACGATGGTACACAGGCTCTTGTTGATTATGACGAAGTTGATTTTTTTTAAAATAACATCCTTAAGTTTCCTCGGTTTCACTTACCTCACACTTTATGAAGTTTATCATCAAGAAGAAATCTTCAGCAGCCACGCAAAGAAAAAAAAAACTGAACGTAATTTCCCGTGAGGTTTGATGTTGAGCGTTGCAAACTGGAACAAATTATATTATCCAAGCGAGTGACATAATCAAAAGATCAAAATTCACACTTTTCTTTCCTTCGGTGCTCTTTAGGGCAATATTAAATTTCGCATATGAACGCTTTATTGAATGTATCTCCTGACGGAGATCTTCAAAACCTGTATCACATAGGTACGCACATTGTTGTAGGAACGTTCCCACATGCTGCTATACGCTGTATAGATGCTTAAGAAGGTATAAAAAGTGACTGGAATTCGTTTATCAAATTTTCAGAATCTGCATATTTAGGTTCCACTTCTGTTGAATGGATAAAAAAAGTTTATTTTCCATAGTCATATATCATATCCGCACGTTATTAGCTGGTATCTGGTGATGAAGGATCGAAAATGAACGAAAATAGTAGGAGAAGATTTATCGTATGAACTACATTTCTCAAGTAAGCTGCGAACCTTGGCTGCACAAAATTAGCATTAATTTATAGCACACTGTGGTGAGCATTTATAATTTTCTCGAAATTCCTGAGTGCCTGCATCCATTTGCGAAAACTAGGGTAATGGCCTCAGCGTGTGCGAGGATGGCAAAACGTTCTCCATTTAAGTCAGATGCTAACTGCTTAAGGATTGAAGACAGACATTTTTCATTTCATTGATGCTTTGTGATTTTATAAAGCTAGAATAATTTCATTGAATGATAGTGTATGCATCTTTTGTAAGATTTGTTACATTGCTGAAAAATTAGCGCTCCATCTGAATGTATTCCTAAAGTTGATTCATTTTTAATTTATACTGCGTTTCGTAGTTTATTTTATTTTATTTATTATTTTATTTAAGAGGTTTTAACAAATTTCATTCACCTCTAATGGATAGGAAATATAAAAAGTACTACGTTCATGAAGTAATGTTTTTACTGTTTTCTTTAGCATTCGGTAGGTTCCGATTCAACACATTGTAGTTTCATTTTTATACCTATGATCTAGACTTTTTTACCTAGGGGATGAGTACTTAAGGGGGTTAGATTTTGATAAGTTCTTTAGTGGGAATGACACTGATGAAGACTGCACATTGTAGTCGAAATACGTATCTGTCATAGATACCAAAATTAATTAAGTGGAATTAAATGGAAGATAACCTTTTTTGCTGTTTTACTACGTTCAGTTCGAGTCGAATATTGCAAACCACAAAGTGGTCATATTTTATCAACTAAGACTTGTACTCGAAAAAAATGCACCATTTTTATCCGTGGTGAAAATCTGGGTATAACTAGTTTGGAGTGAATTGTTTACATGTGAAAAATTTCATAACAATCGGTTCAGTGGTTATTGAGATGTCATCGAAACAAAAAGAAAATAGCCGGAGAATTTTGCGCGCCGTCATGGAAAATCCGACTGCGACCATGAGATGGATCGGAAGACAACTGGGAATCACCCATACAACTGTGTCTCGAGTGGTAAAATCGTTTAAGGAGTCCCAGACGACCGAGCGGCGGGCTGGAAGTGGAAGAAAATCGAAGACAGCTGACCCTGTGAAGACCCGGAAGGTGTTGGATTGTTTCAAGCGTAATCCGAACCTTTCGATTCGCGACGCGGCTCTGAAGGTAAAGTGTTCCGTCTGTTCGTTCAGCAAACCATGAAACGAGCTGGGCTTCGTGTATTCAAGGTCTGGAAGGCACCGAACCGGCGTGATCAACAAAACACGGCGGCCAAATCCCGCTCAAGGAAGCTGTATCGAGAGTGGTTAACTAAACCGATGTGTGTGGTTATGGATGACGAAACCTACATTAAGGCAGACGCAAAGCAGATACCGGGGCTGGAATACTACGTTGCCAAATTACGGTTTGATGTTCCGAAAGACGTAAGGAAGAAGAAAGTGGACAAATTCGCCAAAAAATACTTGCTCTGGCAGGCCATATGCCAATGCGGTAAACTGAGTCAATGGGTACCATCAACAGCGAAATTTACCGCACCGAATGCCTCCAGAAGTGTCTGTTGCCCTTTCTGGGGTCCCACGGAGGCGAGACTTTATTTTGGCCGGACCTGGCATCATGCCATTACGCGCGATCGACGTTGGATTGGTACAGAGACAATAACGTTGTTTTTGTACCAAAAACCGCCAACCCCCCAAATTCACCAGAGATTCGTCCGGTGGAAAGATTTTGGGCCATAATGAAGGACAAAGTTCGAAAATCGTCCAAGGTGTTTCAGAACGAGCTGGAGTTGAAGAAAGAATGGATGAAAGTGACCAAAAAGGTCGGCTCCACCATTGCACAAAATGTAATGAGGGGTCTTAAGGGTAAGGTGCGGCCTTTCAGCGATGGAAAGGAAATTGAATAAAGTAATTATGCCGAAACATAATCCATATGTATTAGTTCATTCCCTGAAAGTTTCAAGAAATTACGACGTGAAATAAATTTTTGGCGAACACTTTTGTCTGGTGCATTTTTTTCGAGTACAGGCCTTAGTTGACTTTCTCTCAGGAAAAACAACAATTTTTCTTCAGCGTTGGGATCATTGCATAGGATTTCTCGTATGGATCCAGGTAAGTCGACGGTTTTCCGACAGTTTTCGTAGACTGGGCAGAAAACGAGCAGATGTTCCACTGTTAGGCGACACTGACATACTTCGTTGCCGGTGATTCCCTTGTGCCCAGGAATCCCGCAGAATGTTACGTTATTATGGATATCGATAGACTGTTTCCAAGGGTGCCCTGATGTTTCACTTTCAATAGATTTCAGAGCACTAGAGGAAGCGGTGAAAATCACTGCGGCGGTATTCAACTGGGATATTGTTTCTAGGGATATCTTCAATGCGGCTGTTTCTGCAGAGAAAACAGAACATCGGTTGGGTAGTCGGAGTGATATACTTATATCTGGACCATTTAGGCCAAAACACACTCTGTTTCCGGCGTTTGAGCCATCTGTATATATTTCAATGTGGGATCCGTAGTTTCTCGCAACAAGTGAATTAAATTCTGCTTGTATTTTCGATGGGGGACAGCCGTTGAAAGTATGTGCTTAAGTCGCCAATCAATTCGGGGGATGCAGTCATTCCATCTGCTATCACTTGCTCGCATTAATTGTAGGACTGTTGCGAGTTGATTTCCAGTAAGAGTGTGGTACAGAGTTTTAGCTACCGTAATTAAGAGGTTTTTAGAAGGTTTGGAATTTCGCTTATTGTAGAATATTGAGCGTTTACTAATAACGAGTGCAACCAGATAATCGAATGGTAGGACTCCTGCCTCGGCCCACGCTGATTTTGATGGTGATGATGGAAGAAGACCACAGGCTCCACGAACCATTTTGTTGTAAAATGGAGCAAGCGACTTAATCAATAGGGTGGAATTTCGGCATGTGATTTCTACACCATAGAAGATTTTTACCAAAATTAAGCTGCTTCCTACGTTCATGATTGTGTATAGATTACTGGTAGACTGACATCTACACACTAAGATTATTTTACAGATTTCTGTAAAATTTAACCGAAATCTCAACAGCTGAACGTTCGGTAAACAATTTTACAGTTTACCTGTAATTATTTACAGATATCTGTGAAAAATTCACAGATATTTGTGAAAAATTACAGGAAATCTGCGAAGCTTTTTACCAAACGTTCAGTTGTTGAGATTTCGGTAAAATTTTACAGATTTCTGTAAAAAAATCTAAGTGTGTACGAATGGTTTGCAGTAAGCAAGTTCTCTTTTTTTAAATCGGCTCTTATCTATTCAAAGTGGTGATTAAGCGAAAGATGTCGATCGAGATACACGCCAAGTATTTTAACGACTTTTCGGTACGGGATACGCACGTTGTCCACCGGGACTTCACGTGACCAAGGGATATGTCTATAGGTACATATATGGGAGATTGAGCATTGCTCATGGAGCATGGCTCTCTGCTGCCATTTCTAATCCGCTAATTTCGTAGCTTGGTTTCTCTAAAATATGTGTTGTTAAAGTTCAGTTCAGCTTGTAAAAAAAACAGATTAACACACATAGCTTCACGTTTAAATCAAATGTTAAAAACAATTTTGTACGCTATAATCTCGACGGATTTAATGGAGTTTTGAAATTAATTTACCAATTGAGTCTCCCGTGTGTTTAGATTGACTGCTATGGACATATTCGGAACATATCAGGTATTTTGGATATATGTTGGAACACAAAGTTACTAAGCATAGTAAATGCAAGTTATGGTCACTATATATTCTACAGTAATGTAAACGCAAGTTTTTTTTTCAGAATATTTACATCTAAAACCTTCACGAGATTATTTTAACATAACCTTATTCAAAAAACCTTCTGACGGCCACATTACAGAATCTTATCATGCGATAAATCATTACAAATTATGTATATTTTATATAAAGACTGTACTCGAAAAAATGTAACAGACAAAAATGATCACCAAAAATTCATTTTAAGTCGGA